CTCTGCCTCCTCTACACCCCCCCCCCCCACACTAATCTGAGAAAATGATCAATCCAGTAAATGCATTGTCAGGGTATAAAATATCAGCTAGATCTTGAGCACAGAGTAGGACCCCATGAATAAATAAGAAAAACAAAAATGAAGGTGGTATGCCTGTATTTTCTCTTCTGTTGTAGAGCAGGTTTGTAAAGATCTAGGAGAAAAGGCCTTTGTTGTGAAGGATTTGCAAATACCTCTGTTGCAAAGCCCCAGTAACACTTGATTTCTCTTCTGTGCAAAGCTGGGCAGCTGTCTCCATCTCTTGGTACAGGTCTATCCTGAGAAAAGTCTTGCTAGAAAATAAAGCTCTGCAATGTGATTCAGGTCACCCTGCTGGCTGGCAGGAGGTGAATAGTTCGGTTTTGTTTTCAGCTGAGAGGTGGTTTGTTGGTGATGGTTATTCAGTCAGTAATGTTGTCTTTTAAAGTGCAGAGCTATATCCAGTAATAGGCCTGCACATTTTAACCTAATAATGATAATAAGGTGAACAAAACCAAGTGAAAGAACATAGCCAGTTCATAAGCTGGACTTTTATTCTAAATTACTTCAAAAAACCTCTTAATGCTTTAGTGTCATTAAATCATCAGTCAGTTTTATTGCTCATTATGAGCCAAAGTGGTGCATTTTCATTTTTGGCTTGCATAAATAAGCAAGGATTCTGTAGTAAGTTGTTGTTATAGCCAGTTTGTTTTAAAGGAGGTAGGATAGCTTGAAAACTAGTTGGCTTGCAGTCAGATGTACAAAATCAATACAACAATGTATTTTCTCAGTTACAGGAATCTGAGGGGTTGTTTATAGGAGTAGCTGCATACAGGCTTTTTGGGGGGAGTATCCTTTTAAAACAAAGGAATTTAAGAAATGTAATCTCAAAATGGCTTGCAGTACTTGAAATGACTTGGTGTGCGTTCTTTGGATTCTGAAATATTTGAGTTCATGTAGTGCACCATATTCAAATGAATTGCTGTAAGTGCAGAGGGAGAGAGAGAGGGTCAGTTTTTTCTATGCTCAGCAGAGGGAGCACCAGTTAACAAACGTTTTGTATAAATATGTGGTTATATAACCATGCACAAATAAGGAAATAAGAAAATTGTAAGTCTCATTAGATCAAGACAGACAAGCTATATTCAGTGCTTGGAACAGGGCTTGCCAAACACCTGCCGATATAATTTGGCTGTGATACATTCACTTATGAAGAGCTTAGGTTCATTATTGATGTACCCTTTACAAGGTAAAGTACTTTATTCATTCAGAATGGGTGAAACCATGATAATTTTAACTGGCGTCTTGTAAATTTTTGTAGAGTTTTTCTTTTATTGTCTTGATTTCCCTGAAGCGGGTGTGTGACTTCACAGTCTAGAAGTTAATGTGTAATTATTCCTGTAGCAGTAGTAATAATGGAACTGCACTGGTGTGGCTGGTAGCTCTGGCAAACTGCTATGCAAAAACAGTCTTGGAAAAAAGGTGTTAAATTCAGAGGAAAAAAAAGGTTTGCAGTCATTTGGTCCTTATAACCAGTTTTATACATACTAGTCAGCTTGGGCAGTTCAGTGCATCTCTTGAGAGTGCTTGTGCCCTTAATAGCTAGAATTAGGCTTAATGTACATGCAAAGAGGAGGAGAGAGAGGGACAGATGGTCTTTACTTATGTCTTTACTGATGGTATTTGAAATGGAGAGGGGAAGAACTGTGGGGAGGGAACTGATTTCGGAAGTTACATTTCCATTACTTTTTGACTGGAACTCTTTCTACTGAATTTTCATGGTAAAATAGCAAAACCTGGTTCAGGTCTGTTCAGTAATACTCCTCTCAAAATTGACTTCAAACTGAGCAAGCAGTATATGGAAGGAATGTTTTTGTCATTTAAATCTGGGGGCTTAGTACACCTAAACTGAAGTTTGAATAACGTATAGGTATTATACTTGCTAATTTTTACATGCAGTGAGGGACACAAATTAAGTTTGCCTGCTATGCTTCTCTGTAAAGATTATATATTGAAGTTATCCTTTATATCCTGTTCTTTGGATTTGCATAGGCTAAATGGTATTGGAAAACAGCATCTTGTGATGTTTTAATTTCTCCCACAACTATTCAACAAGTCATTGCTGCCCTTGGAGAGGACAGTTAAAGGGGATAGTGGATTTCCCCTTATGTACAACATAAACAGCCCATACCATTCTTTCTGAATAACCTGCATATTTAAGAACACATGTACTGGGCAGCTTATGATTAATACAGAAGGGAAAAATAATAGCTGACTCTTCAAAAAGAAACAAAAAACTTCTTATCATAAATGGATCAAACATGATAGAGCAGTGGTGTTAATATGCAACTTCTGTAATGATGTAATTAATGCACCTAATATTTTAACTAATTTCTGAAGAACTTGCATTCTTTGATAAGACTAGCTATTCACTTTAAATTGCATAATTTGGACCGCAGTCCTGCAAATGATTATGCACACGTTTAACTTGAGGCATGTGGGTAGTCCCGTGTTGCCACATACCTTTAGTGACCAGACCCAAACAGGGTAGTATTTTTGGTTCGCTTTAAATTACTATAGTCTCAGTTATTAAATAAAAATATCAATGGCTCCTTTGCTCTGGAACTAGTTTATATGTATATACTATGTAGCTTGTTAGCTTTCAGCTTACAATTCAGTATATTCATTTTACACAGGAACCTTTGTTCTTGTTTTATTAGAACAGTGGCTCCCAGCCAGGGTCCCATGATATCTTTTCAAGGGTGATGTGAGATCACATAACATTATCACTGTTAGTTGTGCAAACATGATTCACAAGATAAAACCACAGATTTCAAATAATAGGAATTCATAATATCCAAATATTCTGACCTGTTATGGTCTTTCTGAGCTCTTTGCAATAGAAAAACAGCAGCAAGTCTTCTGTGGTACAGAACTGAGTGAAATATAGGAGTTGGCATTTTGCAAATGGTGCTTTAATTCTGAAAAGGTTGAGCGCCACTGTTAGAATTTTAATAACTTAATATTGGTCAACTAGGATCTCTTCTTAAAAAGACACTTCAGTAATTCAGGATGTAGGGAAAAGAGTTGTCTTGGTTACTAATGGTCCCCTCTCTGGAGGTCCTTCTTCATAGATTCATAGATGCTAGGGTCAGAAGGGACCTCAACAGATCATTAAGTCCAACCCCCTGCCTAGGCAGGAAAGAGTGCTGGGGTCAGATGACCCCAGCCAGATGCCTGTCCAACCTTCTCTTAAAGACCCCCAAGGTAGGGGAGAGCACCACCTCCCTTGGGAGCCCATTCCAAATTCTGGCCACCCTCACTGTGAGGAAGTTTTTCCTGATATCCAGCTGAAATCAGTTCTATGTCATTTTGTGACCATTGTTCCTCATTACCCCTAAAGGTGCCCTGGTGAACAGACCATCTCCAATCCCTTGCTGCGCCCCCCCCCCCC